GCTGTTGCCGCTAGTGCGCTAGCTGCAGCTTCACCACTTCGCCAGCACTGGACATTCCCCGCGTCATTTGACATTCATTCAGTGCTGCTGCTGCTGTCAGTTAGTGCAGTCGGTGTCAGTTGTGCCCCGTTCATTCGGTGTCTTATCACTACTTTCTGAATGCACCACCTTTCTTTCTTCTTTGAATCAGTGCACTCTTGAATTGTTCTACCCTCTCTTACTTTGTGATTAGAAACTGACAACTTCTTTTTCCCCCACACAGCCCACACTAACGCAAGCCATTGCCGTTCCCGGTGGCATGTCAATAGTCCAGCTGCTGCCAACCAACCAGGCGAGCAACATGGTCCAGTCGGTCATTCAGCCGAATCACCAGTCGGTGATTCAGGCGCCCAACACTACCTCACTACCTCTACAGGTAAGCTTAGTTTTGTTGTTCATTTCTTTTATAGTTGGCACTAACCCCAAACTTGTTGCACCTCCACAGCTGAACAACAAGCTGATTCTGTTGAGCAACAAGCTGAACCAGGGNCTTTAATTTCTTTCATAATTGGCACTAACCCCAAACTTGTTGCACTCCCTTCCCTTCCCTCCCCACAGCTGAACAACAAGCTGATTCTGTTGAGCAACAAGCTGAACCAGGGCTCGGTCATTCAGAGCACCACCGGAGACCCGCACGGCGGAGGAGAGCACCAGCAGCAGCAGCAGCAGCAGCACCACCCGATTCAAGTAAGTGGCGGATTCCACTTCATCGCCGCACCCTCAGCACACCACCCCACCACCGCCACCATCATGACCGGTGGCCCCCGGACCATCACCTCCAATCCCTCACTGCTCAGCTCGCCCGGCAACCGCCAGCACCTAGAGCGCCTCTCTGATCGATTCTTTTCCTCTTCCTCCTCCTCTTCGGGTTCTCCGCAGTTGTCCGGCGGCGGCGGTGGTAATAATGGCAAGGACGGCGGCGGCGGCAACAACAGCGACAGCGGCAGCGCCGGCAGCGATGCCGCCGCCCACCAGGCGGCCATCTACGCCGCCGACGAGGAGGCGAAGCGGCGGAGAGAGGGCCTGGCCAGGCGGCCCTCCTACCGCAAGATTCTCAACGACCTCACGGACGGCGGCGACAAGACCAGCGACGACGAGCGGGACCCGCCGCCGACGCTGACGCTGCCCACCGGCTACCTCAAAGTGCTGCCCGCCTCCATACAGATCGGCGGAGGGGACGGCGGACAGGGCGGCGGCGGCGGCGGCATTTCCACCATCATGACCAGTGGCTCCAGTGGAAATGGCGGTGGGGGCGGTGGTAGTACCATTGTTCAGTACGCCTCTGCCCATGACGGACAGTTTATTGTGCCCGGTAAGTGAGGTTGAGGGGGTGGACATTTAATCGCAACCGTTTCGCAAGCCATGGCATGCGATGAAAAGGCTCACGATGAAAAGGTCGTGCGATGAAAAGGGTTGCGATGAAATGGCCTAGAATA